CCAGGAATTTGCAGCCCTGCTGGCTCAGTCAGTCAATCAGGGCTTTGAGGCCGTCTACCAGCTCACCAGGATGTGCACCATCCGTATGAGCTTTGTCAAAGGCTGGGGAGCTGAGTACAGGTGAGCACTGATACTGAAACTGTGTTGGAACTAATTCATTCAAACATACATGAATATGTAGCAAGAATGAGCCACCTTAATCCTAGTCAGGACTGTTTCATCCAAATATATACAAAGTACTTTTTGAACAGGTGGAACAGCAGACATGGAATTTTGATGAGAAATTTTGATAGAGTTGAGCCTCACTGGAGCCTCACAAACTCAATTTATCTTTCTTCTGTTAGCCTTACTACACCAGAGGGAAGGATGAAAAATCAAAATTTGCTTCCTCAGTAGTAGAACTATTTTTGGGCAGTTCTTTAAACCATCATTAATGACAGTGCAGGGCATTTTAACACTGGAAAAAACTGACATTGCAACAGTTTTTCAACAGTATATATTGCTATATACAAAAACAGGGTAATGAATATAACAGGACTATAACTTACCAACTGCAAGAGGCTGTCTATTGCCAAAGCTCTGCAGCCTGGTCAACTTGTTTAGGGTGGCTGCATTCATTATGTTCAGCTTTCATAGATGTCTATTTTCTCACCACATTTTCTGTCCCAGCAGCCAACACTTCCCATATCCCTGCTGCAATGTTCTCACTTGTATGATCATTTAGAAAAAATATTGTTTGCAAACACCAGTTGGAAGTCCACATTGATAAAGTGAATGGACTTTAGCAGGGCTCCAGTGTGCAGCTGGACCAGTAGTCTGTTGTAACTGCACAATATTTTATTTTGTGACAGATCTGCTTAAGCTTGTGTCTTTTTTGTCATACACCTCTGGGGTGGCAGCATAAGAAAAATAAGTGTGTGATGATGTTACATACTGCCTGTCAAGCAATGTGATAACTGCAAACTGGTATCATCACTTTTGAAAAGGTGAAATGATCAATGGTTTTATTTTGCTGTTTGGAACCATTCTCATATGGTGTAACACTTACAAAGGCATCCAGAATAGTTTTTTGCTTAGGGTGGGATTCAGATCTGACTTTGCACTCATCGTACAGTGTTTTGTTGTTCTTGTTTGAATGGTCAAACAATTGAACCATGTTGCCCAGTGTGGTGGCAGCAATTGCGAGATACAGCAGAATACCTGCTTTTGATGAACATTCTTTCTGTAGCTAAAATATTTCTGTACTTTGTGTTTCTTTCAAATTTTTTTTTTTTTGCCTGTTTTGCTGTGCACATATAGAGCCTGCATGTCAACAAACTTTGTCGTTAAAATTTTTAAAAAGTACATTTATAAATTCTGTATCTAAAAAAACCTTTAAATCTGTAAAAATGATGTTCTTTCAAACAGACTTTTGTAAATGAGTCATGGAAAATGAGAACCTTGTGAGTTTATTTTGTGTTAAGCAGGAAAAAAAAGTTGTGATGGAGTGTGTTTGACTTAATTTGCCTTAACTTGCATTGCACTTTTTGCAATTTAACTGTTACACACAATTAATTAAATCCATCCAAGGAATGTTTTTTTTTTTGAGAAGCAGTGGAAGTTATCATCACAGATATAGTTTCACGCATTTCCTTCACAATAACGTAGAGACCTACAAACCACAACATCCTCTTCCTGGCTGCAGAAATACACACTGTACATAACAAAGCCAAAAGCATCATGAGTCACATGCTGCAAGGAGTGAAAAGCCTATGTCAGCACATCCCAGAAAATTTAAATGTCTGTCTTTATTTTTACCAGGCGGCAGACTGTCACAAGCACTCCTTGCTGGATCGAGCTGCATTTGAATGGCCCCCTGCAGTGGCTGGACAAGGTTCTGACCCAGATGGGTTCCCCGTCTGCACGCTGCTCCAGTATGTCCTAAACAGCTAAGGAAACGCCCAAAAAAAAGCCCATTACAAAGATCATTAAATTCTAAACTTGTGAGTCCTTTCATGAAAAAATAAATGGAAACCCCACAGAATTAATTTTCTGTAACATACTTCATAGTATTCGTGGCCCAGTTCCACATCCCTCTTTTAACTTTATACACACACACACACACACACACACACACAGAAACACACACAGAGAAACAAATGGAAGAACAAATGCACCTACACTGTTGCACTCATTTCACATACACATACAGACTTTTCAGTAAAAAAAAAAAGAAAAAAAGAAAAAATTGGCACTTTGTTACCCATCTATGTCATGCACCTTGTTAAATTGCTTTTCCCCAAATCCTTAATATTAGATCTATTTGTGGTACAAATAAAATGTATATTGGTTTTTAGTCCGGGAAGTAGGGGAAATACCAAAAATATCTGTGAATAGTTTCTCAGTATTGAAGATTGCTTGTATGAGTAACACGAGCTTGAATGCTAAAATGATTTTTGTTCCAGCCCACCCCAACCATTGTTCTGAACCTAAGTTTACTTTTCTCTGGGAAACTTGGCCCCATCTTTTGTCAGGGGGGAGGTGGCTTGGTGAAGAAACGATGGCCTTGGTGGCTGTTCTCCTCTGAAGGAAACGCCACAATGTGTTTATGAAATTTGAATCGACTTTGCCAGAATGGCCCCTTTTTTTCTTTTTTCTTTTTTAACTCTTGAAGTGTGTCGTTATAAGACATACCTTTTAATGGACAAATAGGAATGTTAGGTAAAATAATAATTCCAAAAAAAAAAAAACAACCCTACACAAACTGCAAACTCAGTCTGGCTCTAGTTTATTTCTTTGTCATTGTATGGCACTCTACGTGTCCTTGATTTAGTTGATTTACATCCCCACTGAGGAGCCTGGATGGAAGCTAGAGAGTTGTTGGCCAGGCTTTGCAGGGCGCACTGGGCAGGGACCAGAGAATATCAGCTGTTATCAAAAAGCTTTTTTTTTTTTTTTTTTGACACGACACTGGGAGTCCTGGGGCTCTCCAAGGTGACATCTCACCAGGAGAATTTGAAGGTATCAGTGAATTCATTCTGTTTTTAGCCTATATCCCCATTGTTTTGCTACTTTTTTGTATTCTCATGTATTTTTATATATAAATATACTTAAAATTTTCTGTCGTTCACTTTTTATTAAAATAATATTTTCAAGACCACAGTTGTTTCTAAAGTGACATGGAGGGCATGGATCATTCCTTCGTTTTACCCTGAAGGTTCTGTTTGAATTAATTTCCAATAGCAGCTCTTTGTCTTGGTGAAAAAAAAAAAAAAAAAGAAATCACTGCCCCACATGACTTGTAGCCTGTTTCTATCCTTTGTTTTTCCAAAGAAGTCAGGTGCATTTAAAGTACACAAAACAACAGATTTTCCTGAAACCCAAAACATACTTCCTTGTAATGGTTTCAGTGATTCCAGAGGCATGTAAAACTTTGTAATGGCCATTCATTCATTCATTCATTCATTCATTCATTCATTCATTCACTCACATCTCTTCACTTTTTTGAAAAACACACGTGACCTCTTGTTGCCTTTTGGTGCTTAGTCAAGCGGGTTAAGATCGACCAGATATAATTGGCTTTCCAAATGTTACAGAATGGGAGGAGAGCAGTTTTCTTCCGTGTGACAAAAGAAGAGCGAATGTGCCTGCACACTGGGACATTCTGTGTTAATGTGTGTATTGTATTTGTTCCGTCTATAAAATACAGTATGTACAACAAGCTTAAACTCATAAGTGGCTGTTGCAAGGTTAACATGTCCCCCCTCCCCTCCCTTCTTTATGATGTAAATGTGTTTACCATATGGCACTAGTGATTGTACTTTAAGTGCACCTAGTGAAGTTTGGATGTGGGGAACTGAATCATGTGTTAGGGTCCAGTGTTACATTGTTTTTATCTTTGGCCTACAACATATGAATGTGAAAAAAAAAATACATTACAAAAACTGACGTGGACCAGACATGCATATACATAACAGTAGTACAGTATGTGTGTATTTAACAGTAATCTTTTTGCAAAGCAGTCAGTACAGTAGATGTCGCAGTTGTTTTACCAGTAGAGGGCGGTATTGATAGAGCAGTTCTTTTTTTTTTTCTGACCATAAGCTTCTCAGGCGTGTGGCATATTATGCAGACTTCATAAAACACTAATAAAGATTTTTATTCTCATGATTCTACCTGTTGTGTTTATTACTATGACATATAAGGGCTGTTTGTGGGTCATAGATTCAGTCTGCAAGAGTACAGCTCAACTGTCATTCACAGGTCAACCATGGCTGCTTGTATGTAACATTTGTGTAAACTGATGTTTTAATGTTCGTAGAGTAACACATTGTGACTGCAAATATCTTCACCTTTTAAGCAGTGATGGTTCGTGTTTCAAGTAAGTACAAACTGGAGGTGCTCAAGTGCATTAAGCTTTTTTTTTTTTTGGACATAATTCTGTTTTACTGCATTTTGGAAACAAACATCTATATTTCCAAGGTAGTTTATACATTCAGGTTTTACATCAGTTTATGAAATATGCAGTGTCTTAATACATTAAATGCCTCAGTGTTCTGTACAGAAGTTATCCACCATGCCAGCTGTACCATCAGAGTCAATGACCTAGATTCAGACAGGACATGCATGCATCTGCACACTTGCACGGAAGGACTGCACATACTGCCTCTGAATATGTATCATTCTTAGTGTTTAAACTACTATTGTTATGTGCTGTCCAAATATTTAGACATATTTGGATGCTTTAGCAATGTTTCCTAAAGCTTTGATGTGGATAAACTGAATCAATGTTATCAGTCATGATCGTTAAACAATGCCATGTTTTGAGGGAGAACACACTGCATAATGTTTAACCTTTGGATTGCATAAATATATTGCAGGACTTCTATTTTGAGTTCAGTTGTGTCCAAGGAAATGGTCTGGGTACCTCTTCTGCCACTGGGTATCACTTTAAATATAATATGAAAGGCTCACACGTCAACACGCTGCCTGAAGTTTGTCCTTCCACGGCGACGGTAGGCTACGTCAGAGGTAAATAGTGTCAGCTACAGTTAGCCTGCAGCTAGCTGCTTGTTGGGACAACATGGCATTTACCTTGTATTCTCTCATTCAGGCAGCTATCCTGTGTGTCAATGCTGTCGCTGTATTACACGAAGAAAGATTTCTAAGTAAAAGTAAGTGGCTCTCGCTTAAACGATACTCGTCATTTCGTTTTGAAATTGGGTTAGCTGCTAGGCTAGCCAATGCTAACTAGCTAGTAAGTTAAGGTCTAGCTAGAACAGTTTTGGGGACATAGAGAAGTTTGTAATCTAAAATTACTGTACCAGCCTATAAATTTAGCATAACAGAGAGTTTGCCCAGTTGAGTAATGTTACAATTTGCTACTTTTTAAACTTTTTTACAATTTGTTAACAAAATCAATACACTAATCAATTCAACAATTTCACATTACATGCTGGGGAGTTTAAACAACGATAGAGTAAACCAGGGTTAGAGCCCCGCTTGAAAACATCGTCTGTTTATGCTTTTAAATGTGTGTGTGTGTGTGTGTATTTAATGTCACTATGATACAAACTGTAAAAATATGCTTAAGTGAACAAGTTTAGAGAGTACCACAACTTTGTTATTGTAAAACTAAATATAAATTCTATAAACGGGCAGCCTTGTTACTTATTCATTAGACAAATAGTATTTTCAGACTTTGCTGTTGCTCTTACTGCATCATAATGTTGGATAACACATACATCTATCGTGTGGATACTGCTGAAACTTGTGAGTTTCTCCACCAGGAGGAATAACTATATCTATCTGTCTATCGCTGTATCTAGCTATAATAATATCTTTTTTAATGTTAAAACGTGTTGATTATCGCCAGTTCATTTAGAACTGATGGGCCCAGAACAAAAGTTATAACTTTACTATAACTTTCTATCATTTATATTTAAAGTTCTGATGTAAATATATGAGGTGTCAAAAGTCCTATCTTTACACTTTTACATATTACAAAAAAGTATACAAAATATACCTCTCATGTAAACTGTTAAAAAAAAAGTTTGACTATGTATATTCATCATAACGGAATCACAGAGGATATTTGTCCTGTTAAAATATTACATCAACATACCTCAAATCTTTAATATAATTTAAATAATTAGCAAGACTACAATCATCCAAGAAAAGACCTGAAATGACGAGTGTTGAGGAGGAGAATTATAGTGGGCTGGCTTCCGACCCAGGTTAACTCTAGAATGACAAAGATAACAGTACTTTAGTAGTTTAGATTTTTTTTTTAATAAAACAAAGCATGAACAGCAACAATGTGTTTGTGTCTGTCTGTATTTTAACCATCTGTAGTTGGCTGGGGAGTGGACCAAAGTGTAGGAGGATTTGGTGACGAACCAGGCATCAAAGTGCAGCTAATGAACCTTATCCGCTCTGTGAGGACCGTTATGAGAGGTGGATATATACGAGTGCACACACATAATTTCTTTAAGAATGGTCAATAAAAAAAAGCATCTGGTGACACTGGTCTTATCTCTGATCATGTTGTCTTGCCCTGCAGTGCCACTGATTGCAGTGAATTCAGTCTGCATTGTGCTGCTGCTTCTGTTTGGATGAAGAGGTTGAGTGAAGATGGGACAAACACGCCTGCTGTCAGGAGAACATCTCCATCACCTCAGGAACCCTCACTGTCTCTTTGGCACACGGAATGAACCCGTCAGCCTCAACATGAATGTTATTGTATATTTCGAACCAACACATGGGTTATTTCCTAAGGCCGATTTTTGCCATTATCCTGCAGCTATTTAGTATGCCTAACAACTGTCTTCTTTTGAATAGAACAATACAATTTTGAATAGTTTACACTTTTTCAAAATTATTAATAAACAAACAAATGCTTTTACACTTAACTAAATTGTATCAAAGGACTAAAACAACTGCTGTCGTAGCGTGGTCCACTGTTGGTGATTTATACTTTGAGTACATGTAACGTAATTCTTGAATATGTGATGCTGTAGAAATGTTGGAGAATAAAAAGTTTTTTAAAACGACCCACTGGTGTGCAGACAGCTTTCATTGCACTGAACAGTCGACGGCGTGTTGTTTGTCCCAGCGCGCTCGCCGTAGTTGTTGTCGGATGTGTGTTGCAGTGAGTTGAGTAATGGGGAACACACACAGTTTCGTGGTGGCCTCGCTGTCTGTGTGTTCTGTGTATCTAGTTTACGTTCACATTTACTGCGCTCACAGATTGTTAAAAACAAATGTGCTCAACAGCGACAAGCTTCCCAGTATTGTGTATCTTTACCTCCGATATTGTAGCAGAGTTATCAGCCGGAGATCAGGTCACCTGAACAGAACAGCTGCTCCCAGGTGTGATCCTGTTTACACGATCCTCAGCTGCAGGTGAGTTCTGGCATTCAGAAAAGCCTGGTAACTGTCTGAAAGAGCTGGCTGACGGTAACCCCCTGCTTTGAATGAAGTCTGTAAGTTCTTCATACCCAGTTTTGATTTTGAGTGATTTCTTTTTCGACCAGGTTTTCTTCCTGCTTGAAATGACAGAAACAAAAAAACAGTATGACAGTGTCAGAGAAGTGATGACTTTTAACTGTTTCTGTGTTTTTTTATCTTTTCATTAAAAATGCCATGTCCACAATCCTTCATATCCCTTGAAATCATTAAAAAAAGAGAGAAAATACAGCTTTCATCCCTTGGTCCTGGTAGATTCTTTCATGTTGTGAAGAGTTTTAAAACGGTGTAAAAGGAGAACAGCTCAACTGCAAGTCATGGGTAAAACCAAAGGGTTCAGTGAACTGATATCAGAGTCCATCACTGAGAGAGAGCTGCTGCTCACAAAACTAGGAAATGCTATGAAGTCCTATCAAGTGTTTTCGAGTGCCCCTGGCCACAGTGCAGAGCATCATCAAAAAGAACAAGGTGCTCCACACTGAGGGAAATCTCATTGTAGGGAGATGTAAGTGACCTGTCACAAGAACATAGTGTGAGAGGCCAAGAAGAATCTGAGGCTCACCACCAAGACCATCCTGCTGCATCTCAGCAGTTCTTCTACCATCGTCTTGGTCAGTCACAGAACAGGACTGGTCTCCATGGATACTGGCAGCTGACTCCATTTCTTCAAGATGGCCGCACAAAAACTCACCTCAACAAAGAAAAGCACTTATGCTCATCAGATGAAAATGAACACAGGTATGTTGCTCTCATTAGAGGAGCAGCACCATCTCCACGTGGTGGTGGGAATGGGATTTTCTGGGGGTGTTTTTCAGCCAGTGAGTCACACAACTTTGAAATGGTTAACAGAAAACAATATCAGCATGATGAAGTGGCCCAGACAGTCCAAGCCTGAATCCTATCTACAATTTGTAGGAAACTGAAGACCAGAGTTATGATGTGGAAGCCGTCCAACCTCACAGACCTGAAGATGAAAGAGAAGTGGAACAAAATCCCAGCAGAGACAAGCAGAAAGCAGGTTAACAGTTACAAGAACTGTTTGTTTGCTGTGGTGGCAGATAAAGGCTGTGACACTGATGACTGTGTGAGTAACTTTGGACATGGCATTTTTAGTAAAAAATAACAAAAATACAAACAGTGTCACAATGCATCATTACTATTGGTAGTGATGAATTGTCTTAATGTTTCTTGTCATTTGTTTCTGTAATTTCCAGCCAGAAGAAAAAAACAAAAAGAAAAAACGGTTGGTCAAATAAATCAAACTTTGCCATGAGTAGAACTAATTTTGGGCCTAATAACTGTATTTCTTTGTAAGGTTTGAGAATCTGTTGTTGAGGAGGTTCTGCAGCGCTGCAGGTTATGGTTGGGATTATCCAGACACTGAATACAGAGATGTCCCGCTGTGTTTCCCAGAGTTTCTCTGTGGTAAACTGCTGCTAATGCTTCTGACTGATGAGAACTTCTGCCTCAACCCAGCTGGTAAGACACTCAGCATGTCTCTTTAACCAGTAGTGGAACATAACTAAGGACATTTATTCAAGTACAGCACTCAAGAATAAACATAAAGTACTTGTACTTTAATTAAATCTTAGTTCATGTAATTGTGCTATGTACTGCATTCACATGGCAACATCTTTTGCATGACTGTGTGTAGATAGTACTGTATTACCTTTTTAACAGGCAGTTCTTGGTTTTGACCATCATAATCTTATAGAATGTGTATGGTGTATGCGTTTTTGTTTCTTTTAAAAGAAAGAAAATAAAAGAACATGATGGCGATATAACAGTGATTGTAACTTTTCCTTTTTTAGGTCTAGTTCGTGTGCGTCAGACTTTGAAAACCTTTGAGCCTATTGATGAGCTGAAGAAGGGTCCCTTCAAGCTGCAGGCCCAAGTCCTGTCCTACCAGCAGACTGATGCAGGGGTGGAGGTGGACGTCTGTCTGTCTGCCACGTCCCGTTCTGGATGCCCTGTGTGGGAGAATGTCCTGACACTGCTGTCCAAAAACAGGCTTCCCAAAGCCAGCACACACTTACCCAAGAATGAAAACAAGAGTGAGCAGCGTTTTGGTGATTTCTGCTCAAAACTGTTTCAAGCCTTTTTACTCCAAGAAAATGCATTATTTCCTTCCTCTTACATTTATTGTTTTCCTTCCTCACCATAACATACATGGGTTTCTTTGTTCTGGTAGGCCAACCAGAGGATCCAGAAAATGTGAAGCAGGTGGAGCTCAGAGTTCCCAGGACTGTGGAGCTGCAGTGTCCACGGTCCTTTTCTGACTACTTCCCCCATCGGCTCCTCTCTCTGCCGGGCAGGTTCTTCAGCGACAGATCTCAGACGTCACCAAGTCTCTGGATGCTGTCGGTCTGCTTGGCTGAAATAGAAAAACACAAAGGTACTAGATTTTAAACAGGCAGTCATACATTTGTTATGTGAAGTGTTTTCAGCAGCACTGGCCAGACCTTCATATTGCTCCGTTGTGCCGTCAGGTGTGGAGGTCATCACAGCTCCTGTCCACATCTCTGTCCAGTTTATCGAGCCTCTGTTGGTACCAGGAAAAGTGACAATCAGGTTTTGGGAGGCAGCCAAAGATGCAGCTCAGTCTTCAGCCCGAAGTGTCACCTTCCACATGGAGCAACAAGGACGCAGCATATCTCACATGGTGGGACTGATTTCTAGATTCACATCGACATAGAGGGTTTGTTGTTCTGTCTAAATACAGTAAAATAGTAAACCTATTGTTTGTACTACACAGAAAATGTAAGTCAAGTAAGTATGAGACAACCAGCTAAACCCCATTCAAACATTTTTTTATCGGTCAATAAAATGCAATATTGTCATGACAATGTCCCTTTTTCTAATTTGAATTAAAATATATATGTCATAAGGTCCTGTGTGAATGGATTCATATGCCTCGAGGACACCCTTTTATACAGTCACAGGTGTTGTCAGTGTATTATTCTGTAGCTCATTTTAAATTACAATCCAGAGCCCTGAATAGTCAGTTGTTGAAAGCCACCTGCTGCATTTTTAATCCATAGCAGTGAAAAGTTCAAGGAAAATCTGACTAGTATTCTAGTGAGATGCTAGCTCACTACATTAAATGAGGAGAATGCTGTATGCTCAGCTCTGCTGCAGTCTTTCTTTACTTAATGTAAATACAAATGCAGCATTTACTATTTAATGACATTTTATCCACTCTTTTTAACATAGGATAATAAAAACCAAACATCCAGATACCAGGACTCAAAGATCAGAACAAATCCCACATCACATCACATCACATCACATCACATCGAGTTAATGAGGTTGTTGATGCTGCTTGTGGAAGTTCACAGACATAGAATAGAAATTCTTTCTTTACTGTCAATGAAATTAGTCATTTAATTTTGTCCAGACATTCTGGGGAACAACATCATGTAACGTCACACTTCTACAAATGTGTGCGTCCTGAGCTGTGTAAAGGGATTTATAGATGACAAATGGTGGCGATTCAGGTGTCTGGCTACAGTAATAACTGACATTCAGCGACTGGAGCTGGAGTCTATCTCAGCCGACTTAGGACGAAGACGGGGGACACCCTGGACAGGTCGCGAGTCTATCGCACACACTTAGAGACAGACAACCAAGTACACTCACATTCACACCCACGGACAATTTAGAATCACCAATTCACCTCAACATGTTTTTGGACCTTGTGGGAGGAAGAGAACCCGGAGAGAACCCACACTGCACAAGGAGATCATGCAAACTCCACACAGAAAGATCCCGGGTGTCCTCACTGGGACACGAACCGGCGACCTTCTAGCTGTGAGGCAACAGTGCTAACCAACTGTGCCACCTTGCAGCCCTTGGATCAACTCAATCGTCGAAAAATTCTCACCAGTTAAACAGCTCAAAGACATTTTGTGCACATTTGGCTAAATGTAAACATTTTCTAAGCAGAAAAATAGCAATGAAATTTTAAACTTTTTCTCTAAGTCAAAAACTAAGACTATTTGCATGCTGTGTTTACATGTATGTTCAATGTATTTGAACCATCTGGTAAATGTTCGATTTTGTAATCCTCTAGTTTGTCTTTGTACAACATCAGCAAAAAGTTGGACAACAGGAGTTTTTCAGAGCAGACATTTGGACTTGTCATGGAATGAAAAGCACAGGGGCAGGTGATGATAATAACAAAGGCTTGGCTCTATTCAAGAGTTCCAACAAGCTGTCAGTGTCACAGCATCAGGACCCACTGTGCCAAGTCAAAATGAATTAAAATGAGGTTTATCATCAGGGCTGTCTGTTTCACAGATCGACTGCACATGAGCACCTGGCCAGATGCCATGTGGTTGACAATACCAGGCTAATGCAGGCATCATGTCTACAGGGAGTGAGCACTTTTCAATATTTGATCCCTCCGATATTCCTGTTTGCAGCTTTCATGTATGTGCAGGTCTGTCCTGCTGTATTATTTATAGGAACACATTTGCTGCATGGGACTGAGAAGAGTGGCTTTTCATGCATCTCTGCACTGCTGAAACGTTTCATTAAAAAATCAGAGAGATTGTTTCTAGCATGATTTCTTGTGTACAAGCAGAAAAGAAAGGCCAGAGGTGTAATTTAGAGATCTGAGAGAAAACAGTGGACTTGGCTTAGCCAAGGTTAACACTCTACTACTTTGTTCCTTTTCATTTACAATGATAGTAATGGCATTTTATACATTTGAGGAACACACATGTTCATCCTCATGCTGAGAGCTAATTGAGAATTAGATGGTGTTTGTGCACTAAATATGAAAGTACCATCAGGAGACAATAAGCCAGACCTCCATGGGATAATAATTTAGATTTACATTGATCATTTTTATGTTATTTTGTTCTCAATGCATTCCACTATGTAATGAATAAAGATTTTCAACTGGAATATTTCATTCATTGAGATCTAGAATGTGTTATTTTAGTGTTCCCTTTATTTTTTGAGCAGTGTATAAGTATGTGAAATAAAAGCTGCTGTGAATGTAAATGTAAAAGTGAGTGTGACCTTTTTCAACAATGGAGTGTTTGTGGGGAAATATAAATACTAACAATCAACTCAGAATCATGAAAAAAAAAAAACCTGAAAAAACCTTGACCCCTCATAAGTTACTTAGGGCCCAATTTTTTAAAAAATCGATTTTTCGTCAATCGTTTATGAGTACCCTAACTTAAGCAGTTTTTTTTAAAGGTTTCCCACGGGAGTTGAACTTCAACATTTTAAAGTATGTTATTACACACCTTTACAAACATATTGGTGAAGAAATTGTTTGGTAACGATGTAGTTGGCAGATTTGTGAAAAAATCTCGTAAAATGCCCTTACTACTGGGGGGGCTGGAGTCTATCCCAGCTGACTCAGGGTGAAGGCAGGTTCACCTGGACAGGTCACCAGTCTATCACAGGGCTACACTTAGAGACAGACAACCAAGCACACTCACATTCACACCTACAGACAATTTAGAATCACCAATTAACCTCAACATGTTTTTGGACCTTGTGGGAGGAAGCCGGAGAACCCGGAGAGAACCCACGCTGCACGGGGAGAACATGGGGAGAACATGGAGACTCCACACAGAAAGATCCCGGGTGTCCTCACCAGGACCTTCTACCTTCTAGCTGCGAGGCAACGGTGCTAACCACTGAGCCACCTTGCAGCCCTCCTTGAGAACATGTTGTACCAAATTTCACTCAATGTAGTATCTGTTCCATGATGAATATACTGGAAAATCGCAGTACCAGCCTGAATCACTGCCTCCTTGGTGCCTTATGTATTCATCCATGTTCATCCCCTGCACAAAACATGTAGAAAACATGTGCAAGGGACATGGATAACTACATGACATCTCAAGCTGCATCTCTAGGGAGGTCACATGCATCTGGGCCTGTGGAATTTGTAAAGACCTTACATGCAGAAACTGCAGTCATGATGTTGTTGAGTCTGAAGAAGACATAGACAATGACTCTTGAATCTTCTGACATTGTGAATGAGAAATAACTCTGAGTGTTATACACTGCTCAAAAAAATAAAGGGAACACTTAAACAACACAATGTGACTCCAAGTCAGTCACACTTCTGTGAAATCAGCCTGTCCAGTTTGGAAGCAACACTGATTGTGAATCAAATCCACCTGCTGGTGTGCAAATAAAACAGACACCAGGTGGAAATGAGAGGCAGTTAGCAAGACAACCCCTATAAAGGAGTGGTTCTGCAGGTGGTGACCACAGACCATGTCTCTGTTCTCATCCCTTCTGGCTGATGTTTTGGTCACTTTTGCATTTTGTCAGTGCTCTCAGCCTTAGAGGTAGCATGAGGCAGTATCTACAGCCCACACAAGCTGCTCAGGTAGTGCAGCTCATCCAGGATGGCACATCAATGTGAGCTGTGGCAAGAAGGTTTGCTGTGTGTCTCAGACATGACATCAGTGCAATACTATTTTTTTTAAATTTTAAATCAATTAAATTCTTTATTTGGTGGAGGAAGCATTTCAAACTCTGTGCCTTCTGCATGAAATGTATTTCTTAATATGTTAACTTTTTTATATTGTGGTTCCTTCTCATTTTATGAAAACAGCTCCCCCAGAACTGAATATCATACTTAATAATCTGGAGATACAGTTTGTTGCCAGATGTTGCTATATGCAACTGTATAAATATGAGGATGTTTCTATCTGAGATTCAGCAAAAGCTAAACTAATGAGAAAAGCCAGCATCATGCTGGTGTGATTGTAATCAGAGGAGCATTCAGTGACTGCCTCCCTGCACACACTGAGCAGTTGTAGTTTCCAAGAGGAGGGGAGGGCCTGTGTGAAGAATCTGTTTATAGTTGTCCACACGGAGGAGAAATCAGTCTCACCAGATGTGCAGCAGATCAGAAGGAGGCTCGCCGGCTCATCTCGTCCCTGCCATGTGAATTTCATTACAGCAAGTTGGGAAAGAGTTCAACCGTGACAGGCTTTAAGGTAAAGACATTTATTACTATTTAAATTGAGATGGGGTTTTTTTGTGTGAAAATGTAGATTTCTGTATCTATTCTTGTTACATCACGTGTGTTTGATATATCAGTGTTAGATAATGTATTTATAGAGGAGGGAGATGGACTGAACTATATTTGTGACCGACAGCAGCCCAAAAAATACTGTCCAGATATCTTGCTCTCTGCAGAAATAGAAAACTCAGAGCACATCGGACACATTTACAGTCTGGTTTCTCCTTGCTGTGCCCCTGCCACAGTTAAAGCAGATGTCAGGCTGCCTGTGGTCCCTGCTGAGACAAAAACAGTCACCAACCATGTGCAAACTGAGGCGATAATGCAATGACTGTGTTTAAAATCGTATGTATTTTTCATCTGTTCTTTCTCAGTCACCACTACAAGCTGGAGTGGAGCATGCTGACGCTCGCTTGAACATGTACATTGCTGCTATTATTCATTTATAGAGTCCCGATTCTGTCATGCATATGAGTCAGTGGAGTGTAAGAGGGTCAGTTAGTTGAGCTCCCGTACAGAGTGCAGTGTATTCAGCATGTAGAGCCATCAATTGGAAACACTCCCCTTTAAGTCTTCCTCTTATAGACTATTTAGTGTGTAAATATCTAATTTGTTCTAACTTGATTTGTCTGTCACATGTGTTCTAGTTTAGGTGAATGAAGCTAAATTTTCCCTTAAAGATGTATCGTTCAGAGTTTTAACTTTGTGAGACCACAGTGCTGATACCAGATTTGTAGGATACCTTAAAATGAAATTAAATGTTCTGAAGAGAGACGCTTTCATCACTTGATCTGAAATGCTTCAGTGTGGGGGAGGGAAAGCAGAAGGTGTGTTCTTCTCCTTCCCTGGTTGGAGCACTTTAGAGGAATTCGTCTGTCTCCATCTTCAAAGAGCTGCTCCTTGGGGAATTCAAGTTATTTTTTGCTTCTTTTAAAAGTACCAGCTTCATTTATTTATTCAGAGAGGCCAATACTAAATGACAGCTTGTTCTTTCTCACTGGTCCACTGTTGTTCATGAAACAATTTTACTGCACTTACTGTTACCTGCCCCAGTTACTGTGTTAGTTAAACATGTGAATAACATTAATGCTGCAACTGCACAATACTACCATGTGTATTAGGGGTCAGTTGGATAAAATTATCTGTCAGAGCATGTGGTATTTGTAATGGAAAAACAACACGAAGGTGCAAAAATGAAAGGAAATACCTAAAGACATTAGTGCAAAATGCTAACATTTGTTAAATAAAGCTTCTTCAGATGGCTATTAGTCCAGAATTTGACTCAGCTGAGCACCATGAGGAAATTTTGGAAAAGCATGAATGTCATTTCAATGGTCAACAGATATTTTCTCAGTTTTCCTTTTCACTTTCACACCTCTCCAAGAGACAAAGGCAAGCCTGCATTTCCTGTTTAGCATTCATACGTAGGTTAGAGTTTGGCTTTGTTCAGCTTTTACTGGATGAATGAGCTTGTTTGATCACTGCTGTACTACGTTGTCACGCTGCCACATAGCAAACTGTACTATCACTTTAATACTCTATTTATTTCTTGCATCAGAAAGGTGCTGTCACATTGATGAAGGAATAGTAGCCCTTTGTTCTATGACATATGCAACAAAACTTCACGTACGTCACTGTTTCTGAGCAAAGCTAAGGCAAAAAGACTAATAAGTCCAGTTGCTAAATCTTCACTCATATTAGTTCTACAAGGCTTGATTCAAAATGTGTTGAAAGCATTGCCAAAGAAGCTGTTATTGAGTTTCATGATGGACTAGGTAATTGGTTGGTTATGTGACGCCTTTAATTTGTTGCTTGTCCTAAAATGCTAGCAAAGTCAGGTGCAGTTTCATCATACATTGTACCATAGCAATAAAACAGATTCTGATTCAGATTTCTTAACGTCTGACTAACAAAAAAAGGGAATGGCTTCTTCTTGACCAGATTAGCAGCATGGCTCTATGTATGGTACTGTTGGCTGATCAACTGATCCAGACTGTAATTACCCAACAAGTATTGGATGGATTTGCATGAAATGTTGTATTCATGTTCCCCAGAGAAAATTATTGACTTTCCTCATTATTGACTTCCCTGTACTGCCACTAAAAGGGCAAAGTTTTAATTCATTCTGTTAAATATCTCAACATCCATGAGATAGATTGGCAGAAACCTTGGCACAGATATTCATGGTGTCCAGAGGAGGATTCTCAACAGTCTTGGTGTTCTCCTGACTTTTCCGCTATAGCACCATTATGAATGGATATTTGTGAGTGACAGGAAATTAAATACCTGACCTATACCTATATAGAACTTCATCCAAACAATCCAAAAATCCTAAACGGATGACTATTTGGTAACAAGCAAAAGTTGAAAGCAACATAAACTAAAGTAAGGTATGACACATGCCTGGTGTCCTGGAAGGTTAGCCTTATGTTGAAAGCAGAGCAATAGAAGCACAGGGTAACAAAAAATAGAATACATGCAGAGGTTGCTTTCAGTTAATACAATTCACTATTCCCCATCCTTTTCACTTATAATTATCATATGCTATTATAAAGAGAAAGACTGTTTTATTAAGGATTGTATCAGGTACAAACACTGGAATTAGAGTGGTGCAACCGTGAACAATTCAGGGATTTTTGGTTGTTGGGGAAAAAAATAGCAAAATGTACTTAGTTGTTTTCTGGTGCATTTAACCACCTCTTAAAGTTAACTACACACACACACACACACACACACACACACACACAAACTGCACTTTCCAAAGCCAAGTATTAACTTCCAGTTTTCTGATTTGTCTCAGTGGGACAAGGGAAAATACATGAAGAAGCAAGGAAAAATCGACGCTGCCAGCATCCCCCTCTCTTCCCCAACAGGGAGCAGCAGTGTGCAGGTCTACCATGACTACCAGAAGGTGGGCTTTAAGATGTTTCCTGGGAACGGCCATGTTACAGAAAATGGTTCTCAGGCCAGGAGAGACCAGGTCACAGGTGGTACAGGCAGGATGTCTAGTGTGGCAGACATCATCTCCAACAACCGAGAACAAAAGTACAACATGAAAGACGAGAGTGTTTTCAGGAACTCCACATGGATGATGGATTCAAGCAGCCAAGCATATTCAGGGACGGAGGACAACTCCACAGACCCACACGAGACCCTGACAGAGACTTCCACTCTGACCTTTGTGGATGCCCACACCATGGATGAATCAGTGGAGAACCACAGTCTGCACGGGGTGGGGATGATTTACCTCAAGGAGTTTGTGCTCATAGACGACGATGATGATGGAGACATGTCACTCAGAGAGAAAACTGTAACAGATTTGTCCGTCATGGATGGAAAAGCTGCTGATCTGGTGTGTGGGAGGCTGCTGTCCACCTCCAGTTGTTCAGTTTCAGAGTGTAAGGAGGAATCTTCAGCCCCTGAAGTACCTCCACCTGAGGAGGCTGAGACTGCACATGGAAAGAAACACTGCTGCTTCTGCACCCTTTTATGACCCCGCAGGGAAGTCTAAGGTTTGGAACCTGCAGTAATTTGTCTATTTAAGATTTGTAAAACTCTCATGGAGACCTCTGTGTGCTAAACCCTATGGTCAACTTTTTTTAATGGGGGAAAGAAGCAACATTTCCTGGCATGGATTTTACAGAATATTAGTAAAACTTCCTGCTTATTCTGAATCTGAACTGTATGGTATGTATGCTGAGAGGTATAGTACTTTCTGCTTGATTTGTATTCACAGAAAGGCATTTAGATAATCCTTCCAAGTTTATCAGACATATTTCTGAAGTCTATTATAACATTTTGATACTAGAAAATGCATGTCTCTGTAATATTTGATCTGAATGACAGACTTTGTGATAACTATGCAGAAGGTCTTGAATGATCAGGTGCTAACATCAAATAAAGAAAAACTTTTAATTAAACTTTGTGTCTAGTTAGATATGTTACTTTGTTTATACACAAGATGCGAAATGACTCCAACCGCAACATTAAGACCTACACAATACATCTCTGAAGGTGTTCTGTGGTATCAGGCATTAAGTCGTTAGCAGCACATCCTTTAAGTCCCAGAAGTTGGGAGGTGGAGTCTTCATGCATCAGACTTGTTTTTCAGCACATCCCACAGATGGTCAGTCAGACTGAGATTTGGGGAATTTGGAGGCCAAGTAAACACCTTGAACTGTTTGTCCAACACTTCCTCATTATTGTTTGCATCATGGCAGAGAGCATTACCACTGCGATCAGAGAATACTGCTGTCATGAGGGGTGTAAGTGGTCTGCAGTAATGTTTGGGTTGGTGAAATGTGTCAAAATAACATCTGCATGAATGCCAGGACCTGAAGTTTCCCAGCAGAACATTACCCAGAGCAACACACTGCCACTGCAGGGTCCCTATGTTCATTAGTGAGCCTTAGGAGCAGATGACTGTCATCGTTCAGCAGTTGTCCTTGGAAAGTTTTGGTAGGTGCTAACCACTGCATACCAGGAACACCCCACAAGACCTGTTGTTTTGGACATGCTCTGACATACAAGCATGTATGAAAAGCAACACACAATTCTAACACTAGTTCCATGCTATTTCCCTTTAGTACACTTGACAGAGGTGGTATAAAAGACAGAGCACAGCAGTGCCCCAAGAAAAGCAGCACAGAGGAGAGAAGGCCAGTTAGCTGGATGTAGCGGTGTCATTTTTAGTCATCCAAAGAAGGAAATGCATTCAGTGCATTTGTTAGCTCTCAAAGATACAACCAATGTGTTTTGGTGAGGACCAGTATGTGTGTAGATATATCACCCTGGGGTGCTGCTAATTTTTCTATCCACCGCGACTCACTTCTACTTCTCTGGAGTGACGTCACTATGCCTCCGGCAGCGACCAGCAGGAGATGCCTGCAGCTGCCTCTCACATGATGGTTGTGGTTTAAGGCTAGTTTGTCCTTTCAAATCCCAAGACAGAACAAAATCCTGTTTCTCAAACAGTTTCAGGTCTATGGAGTGTAGGTTTATTCATTTATTTGATCTTTATTCAACACAAGAGATTCCTGAGGGCAGCCATCTTTTTCTGACATTGAGTAAAGTTATAAAAGCAAAATGAAATTATCTATGTTTCTATTCACATTTGACAACACATTGACAGCTTCCTTAAAAAAACAAAGCCTTTTCCATCTCATACATCTCTGTGGCCGTTTGTTCAAAGTATTTGACTGAATGAGAGGTTTCGCGATTACGTACTGTAGATGAAGAAATGATTAATAGCCATGTTTGACAAAAGACATCATGTACAAATACCACAATGCAGAAATATTACAGCCACTGGGAACTTAAAACCTAAAATAATAGCATTAGCTTCCAGATGACAATAATTGAGGAGACAACTTTTATTTGCACCAACTTTGTGGAGTCCAGTTCCAGATGTGGGTTCACACAAAGACGTAGGTTTGGACAGAGAGGTTTGGGGGCAGGCCTCTCTGAGGCACAGTTAATCAGTCCAGTCCAGCAGACACAGCTATGAGACACCAGCTCCTGGTTTGAGTGACAGCAAAACCCCAGTTAGGACCCTGCTGGGCACAGAGATAGGAGCTCACCAAACTTATCTCCTGCTGACACCCCCCCAACACCCACTCCAGACCCTGTGGTACAACAAACTAGAATTACTGCCTTGTGGTTGTACGCCTCCACCAACCAGAGAAGTTACAGTTTATATCCTTTAACTATTCAGACTGGCATATATGTGTATATATATATATAATGAAACAAGAATTTAGTAGGTGGACAGCCAAGATTAGTGCCACCAAATCAATATCTGACTTAATATATGATGAGATATGTGTAATATTGTAACTATTTTAACCTCTGTTCCTGAATTACGGCATTGAATAATGTCCAAAAATGTGTTTCCACAAAACATTATGATGTGACGGTGAATTTGACCTTTTACTTTTGGATATAAAATGTCATCACTTGATCATTTTATCCTATTAGACGTTTGTGTGAAATGTTGTCATAGTTCATGTATTATCTTTGAATGGTGAAAAGTGTCATGCTGACCTTTGACCTTTGATCAACAAATCTAATCAGTCCTCAAGTCCACACAGACGTTTGTGCCAAATCTCAATGGGTTTAAGTGATAAAGCATTCACACGAAAGGGAGGGTCAGGCAGTAACCTGAAAACATAAAGCCTCTGGTCTTAGCTGTCACCAGTGTGGACACTGCTGGTTTCATTGACTTAAAACAGCAGTTGTACATTCGATGTTAGTCTTTATTAATTGATCTGACACTAAAACGAGGCTAAACTGCACTGGAATATTTATAAAAGTTTGCTTCACTAAAGTTATCCCAGTTGAATAACATAGTTTGTAAGACTGAGCTATAATTTTTGTGCAAACATAGTAACGATGCAGCTAATGTGCACACAGTTTCAAAATGACGGATGTTTGTAAGGGGGAATCCAGCAGGGTCGTCGGGCCAAATATAGCTGTTATCAGCCACCGCAGTATGATTGTGCAGTTCACCAGAGGGAGCACTGAACGTATCATCAGCACATGGGAATAGTAACAGATGAAACCACAAAACCACCAGCTGCAAGAAGACCATTGAGAAAAGAAGTTGTTTCTCAGCACACCCACTCATCGCGTCCTCTCACTTCTGGTTATCAAACAAGCTCAGTGCCGTAATGGTCCACAAGAAGGAAGTACAAAAATGAAGAAAAAAAAAAGAACAGCGATGGGGATGAGGAGGTTGAGCGTCTGTTGAATTGAAGACAGCGGCAAGGAGACTCTCAGGGAGGATGGATGACAGAAACAGAGCGATGATTGTGTTTTTTCTGCTCTGTGTGTTTGCAGGTGAGAAGACAAGAAAAAAAAATTCCCTCAGTCATTCAGATTTGGGGATTTTTAAAATATAATTTACATTTTTAACATCTTTATACACGAGACAATTAGGGAACCGTTTAAAAGCAGACTTGTGGCTGTTCTATCCTCTCAGGTGTGCCAGCAGAGGGCCAACCTCTGCTGGATGTGTGTGCAAGCTGCCACGTTAATGCCACGTGTGACGACAAGTTAGATGGCTCGGGCAAAGTTTGTAACTGCAAGTACGGCTTTGTCGGAAATGGAAGAGCCTTCTGTCAAGGTAGGAAAAAAAAAACGTGTTTGAGTGTGTGTATTTACTTATGTAAAATTAGATGATAAACTTCTACATGTCAACCTGTAGTGCTTTTCTCCATTTTAAACCATTTACACTGAGATCCGCTGTCCAAGTTCAAATGTTAAGTTTACAGTTTAGGGGGAATTAATGCAATATAATTCCACATATCAAATATTCTCATTAAAGCTAATCAAGTTAATGTTTAGAAATGAATGATCAACAGATCAAATAAATATCCATCCATTATCTATACACCGCTTAAGCTTTTTAAAGACTTTTGGCTCATTATTTAGGTTTCACCACCTGCAGTTTTACTGTGTTGTTTCCTCTCACCATCCTCATCAGGTCATTTTCAGCAGCAGCACATACAGTTGAAACCAGAAGTTTACATATACTGTATAAAAAGAAATAAAATCTTTTTTTTCTCACTATCTGACATTAAATCAGACTAAACTTTTCCTGTTTTAGGTCAATTAGGATTACCAACATTATTTCTATTTGCTAGCTGCCAGAATAATGAGAGAGAGAAATCTTTCAAAGTTTTTTATTACTTTCTTCAAAGTCAGAAGTTTACATACACTAAGATTACTATGCCTTCAAACTATTTGGGAAAGCCCAGATGATGATGTCATGGCTTTGGAAGCTTTTGATAGGTTAATTGACAACACTTTTAAGGCACACTTCAAACACACTGCACATGGAAAATCTAAAGAAATCAGCCAAGATATCAGGAAGAGAACTGTGGACGTCCAGAAGTCTGGTTCATCCTTGGGTACAATTTCCAGATGCCTGACGGTTCCAAGTTCATCTGTTCAAACAATTATGCACAAATATAAACATCATAAACTGTCAACTTACCAGTAAACATAGTCAAACTTTTAGCAGCAAAATAAAGCTAAAAGGTCAACATTAGATTTACACTTATCAGGTGGACACAATTACAACAAACACAGCTCCAAATAAAGGATATTGTTTCCTCATGTTGGCTCAATAGGTAAAAATTTGTCATGTCAGCTGAAAAGCTAAAGTCATAATGTTAATATACTCACAATGAACATATCCTAATTTAGCATGTTAGCTCACCAATGTGTTAAGTAGCACTAAACAAAGTAAATGTGACACTGACAGAAATTCAGTGTAACATGTATCCAGTCATAAACTAAACTATTAAACCAATAGAAAGTCAGGGATCACTATTGTTGTTGGAAACCAAGAGCGTGTTAATGTTGTTAATTCATTTAACAATTGATCAGACACTACCTTAAAAAACAAAAATTTAATCCTGCAAATGATGCTAGATAAAAAAAATAAATAAACTAAAAACAATACAGAAGATCAGTAAAGTCAGCAGGAACCATCCAATGGGCAACAAGAATGTCTGCACAAAACACCATTTTAATTTTTGTGAAAGGCCTGTTTCATAGAAATAATTTTGACTTATTAAAGAAGGAAAGGAGATTAATGATTTCAACACTTTTTGTCTATGTTTTCCTTCCAGACAAAGATGAGTGTCAGATAGGAGCCAGTAAGATCTGCGGGCAGCACACCACTTGCCACAACACATTTGGCAGCTACCACTGTACCTGCTCGCCTGGCTACAGCCCCTCTAACAGCATGGACATCTTCATCCCAAACGATGGAACCCACTGCCAGGGTGAGCTTAGCATGGACCTGGGCCTTTTTAAAGTCACACATAAGATATTAACACTGTAGGCTAAAAATTGGAAGGTTTTCAACTATGTAATTCTACATTTAATGCTTCCAGTGTGTTGATGTGATGTACTGTTGTCCACTGTAAACTGTTAGATCTCAATCACAGTAAATCCGAGCAGAGTGGAAACAATTTCAGCAGGCAGAAATTACACACTGGGCCTTTGCCTGTAAAAGCTACTTTATAAAATTGTGACATTATTGTTTTTATGTGACGTGTTCCTTTACTTTTGGTGGTGTAGACATTGACGAGTGCAGGATCACAGGGCTGTGTGGAGACGGAGGTCAGTGCAGGAACCTTGAGGGCAGTTTTGACTGCAGCTGCCAGGTGGGATACAGAGTCCATGATGGAGCTGAGCCTTTTCACCCAATGAGGGACAAAGCTTCCTGCAAAGGTAAAACTGCGTCAATCGGTGTTGGATATTCCTACCAAGAACTACATATGGGTATAGAACATTATTTCACTTTTAAAGAGTAATGGATTTTCACTGTGAAAGACAAAACACTCCTATTGTGTTTGTCAGCTGTAATGCAAACCCAAAGAAGAAAGTACTTGGAGTTAATTGCAAATACGATCAAACTAAGTTCTGCTTTAATACTAATATGTGTACCCTTCAGTTTGTATGTGCCAGACTATTATCTGGTTGGTATAATTATGAAAGTCCTTCCTGAATGTGAGAATATGCAGATGGTCAGTGGGAGAAAAGCTGGATGTAAACCTGAATATTGTATTCTCCTGCCCCCCTCAGTGGTGGACTGTGGCCTGCCAGCCTCAGTGGAGGACACGGTGCTGCTGTCAGTCACAGGAACCACATACAGCAATGTGGCCATGTTTGCCTGTGATGACGGCTTTGTGTGGAGGATGGGAGACAACAGCTCTGTATGTGGAGCTGATGGACTGTGGAGAGGACCTACTATGGTCTGTGAAGGTAAGTGAGGTTTCTGCTCAGATGGTCCTAACAGTATGCTAAATGTATAAAGCTGCACTATTCTATATGTAAAGAATGAAAAAAATACTATGTGCAGTGTGAATTCCAAGAGAATTATCATCAGCATCATCATTTTACAGAACATTTTGGATGTCACTGCTCATTGCATAGGTTTCATTTCCCACAGCTTTTATATTTTGATTCTGTCTTCGTCACAATGCAGCTGTTTACAACAAAAAAGCTCTGATAAACCCATTGTGTGTCTAACCCAAAATGGCATACATAGGCGAGCAACTAACTAATGATCATAATAGGAGCATTTAGACCAAAAGCAGCTTAAAGGCGAGTGAATATTAGACTAAAATTTGTCACGTAACTAGAAATGTGTGTTTAAATTGACTCTAATGCTGCTCTGTGTCTGCTCGATGTTTAAATATGCAACTGTTTGTGGGCTTCATTGTCATAACAACTTCCTTACAGAGCAATAGGCAAGTGTTGTGCTGCACCCTAGTGACCAAAAATCAGTTGATGCAGCTTTAAAGGAGAAGGCTGCTGATTCTGTTTTTCAATGAAGTATCCTACTAATAAGCATTCTGTATAGCTTTATGCTGATACATTGTTTTTTTTCTGAGCCACAATGTTCAAGTGTTGTCAATAAACACACTGATGAGCCATGTTGCAGTGGATGAACACTGTTACTGTAGTTCATGTTCAGTGAGCCTCGCGGGTTGCATTGTCAGTAGTTAGCAGCTGATTGAAGTCTCTTTGGCAACATGCACAAAGTACTAATATCAGCTAGTGCAGTGTCTGATGTTAGAATGTGACACCATTTCATTCAATTATTGTTTATTTATATTGCGCCAATTCACAACATGTCATCTCACAGCACTTGAGTTGAAGGTAAAGTGAAGACCTTACAGATTTTAAACAGAGAAAAGAAAACCTAACAATCCAAAGTTGTCTTTGAATTCAGTATGAGCAAGCAGTTGGTGGTGCTGGGAAGGAACCAAAAATGGGGAAGGGGAAAAAACCCCTAGACAGAACCAGAGTCAGGGACGGCGATCATTTGCCTCGACCGGTTGGGGTGAGAGTAGGGATGAGAATATAGC